GAGAGAGAGAGAGAGAGAAATTGCACTCGACGTCGCGCTGACTAACAGCAGGACAATATCCCGCATTATAGACACGCGTCTGCATTCGCATATGCAAAATCGCGTGAAAATTTAATCATTATTTTATTAATTTCGAATCAATGTCCGTGGATTGAATTTCTTTAAGAAATTCAGGTTTTACCAAACATTTTGATTGCTTTTCCTGAATCGTTTACGGCGAGTGATTTTAATAAAAAATTAGAAAAGTTCCAGACATTTTAAAATTCGATAAAAGTGTTCGATCTTATTACCCGGTCTTCCTCGCATATCTAAGCTGCTTTGTAAAATAACACGTTATTTATCGGCATTTGTCCAGGCGGCTCGCGTCGTCGGCTACATAAAATATATAAGCGCTTGAGAAAATATCGCGACGTGACGATGTGAACTGCTCTCGTGATGTAAGCCGATCTTCTTTAAAGTAGTCTCGCAAAGATTTCCCGAAATATAGATCTGGCGACATTTAAAATCACCTTCTAGCAAATATTTCCAGCTACATGCTGACATATATAGAATATTCTTAGGACTTCTGTAACAAGTTTCAAATTTCGTCGATCAATTCATCTTTGATGAGAGATGTAGTTTCCAAATTAGTTAAACGTGTCGAAAAATAGATAGCTTTTGACAATATATAATTTTCGAGATAATCATTTCAAGTGCACGTAATGTTTTTTGTTCAAATATGACACACCACATATCGTTTAAATATTACCTGTTGAAACATTATTAGTTAGACATTGTTTGGAAAAAATATTCAAGAAGTATACAGCACTTTCGATTTTCATCTAATTATCAATATGTGTTAAGCACTACTTACTACGCAAACACGCAAAATATATAAAACATAAAAATATAAAATTGAAAGACTGAAAGAAACAACTCCTATTTTTGGCGCATTGAGTTATATAGGGAACACGAGAAGAAAAGGAATTTCTCTTTTGTTCGGTGTAAAATGCAAATACTTCTATGAATACCCAATAGAGTTACGAGTTTTGAAAGACACTGTCTGTGTCTACGTTTGATAAAAGTACGAGATAAATCCTGAATATCATAATGTTGCGCTCATCGATATAAATTGAAATAAATAAATTAATTAAAATCATTTAATTTCTTTTGTTCAAATATTTGTATCGCTGACATGCAATTCGAGCCATTTTCCAGAGAAGTTTCATTTTATATAGTATTAAGCTATTTTCCAGAGAAGTTTAATATTTTATTTTAAGATAATATTGAAAAATTGGGTATTCAAAATGGTATTAAAAAGTAAATTAATAAAAAACGAGGTCAGCGCATGCTAAGAAATTCTATCATTACGGTCACAATCTCTAGTCATTGTTAGCAAAGTCAAGCATAAAAGCGAGGAGAGACGATGAAAAACTTAGGAGTATAGTAACATCTTATAATTCAGCGAGAAACGAGCGGAAACGCCATCACGTGGACGCACTTACTCGCGCGAAGGTCTTCCATTTTTCCTCAAGTAATCGCTGAATAATACCACCGTCCAGCATGTCCAAGTGCTCCTCCTTCGTACCGTTCAGAATGATAAATAGCGCGGAGTTCCAGTCTGAAATAGAAATTCGGAGAGAGCCATTTGCGGTTAATGGAACATCGCTTTAGGGTTTGCGCCGTGATAATTATGGGTTTTGCATTAGTGAGCGTGTGTATACAGGTAAAGGATGCGAGTGCGCCTTTTCGGCATTCTCCTTCCTCCTTCCTCCCCCTCTTTTTGCCTTTCCCCCCGTTGCGGTATCCGGTACAAAGTTTTCCGCCGTGGAGACGGAAATTTTCCGCCGCCACCGTTGCCGTCGACGTCGCACGGTCAAAGGACAAACCCACGTCGTCATTAACGTTTCATTCGAGAATGTCGGCAATCGGCGAAGGACAAGCACCGAAAAACGGTGAGATATTTATATACCCGATGTGTGCATTGACGCGACGAACCGGAAAATCCGCGGCCGACAACCAACGTATTCCAATCGTGAGGTCGACATTTAAATATTTGAATCACGGTTACCGGACTTTTAAACATTTTAGCGCGATCGATATAACACGCCTTTCGCTCTGCCGAATCGCATCGTGCAATATTAAGTGCAGCGTTCATGTGCACGCTGCTGAGAGACTTGGTTGTGTATCGATCGCATGCATCTGTCGTCGCACTTCGCCCGGCTTTGGCGCGAGTGCTAAAGTAATTGGAACTTGGAGGATTGTATCCTCGGGAGTCCTTAATTACGCTCGACACGGGCGAAGGTGTACACGGTGGCTTGACCCGTCAAAAACATTGTTCCGCGGCTTTGAAACGTCTAGACAGTGTAATATTACTTTAGTCATTTCAGTGTTTAACTATTTATTTAAATATATATTTTCTTTATTCCCTGCATATGAAAACTTTAAAAAGAGATAACAGGAAAGATCAGAACAGGTCGTAAGGTGGAATTCTGAATTTCGATAACGAGCGTATCGCGATCTGCATCTACGCGCAGTGGATACGCAGTGGATTTCCCACCGGTCAAGGCTTTCAAACGATTACGCATTTATAATCCAGAAGGTAGCCTGGATTTCAGGCAGGTTAATCGAGCGGTAAAACGCGTGTTGCGCGCGTCCGATGCTAATGCCGATACCTTCGACCATCCGGTCTTCAATTTTGCATGACGACCGCTGATCTCCCGGCTTCGAATTGATCAGTATCCGCGACGACGTTACTAACGCGTGCCTGTTACCGCAGCGCGTAATTATATCTGACTTTGAAGCACAAAGCCGCGATAGTTTTCCTCAAGCTTCCTCCGTGTATCCTGGACCACTATCTAGCAGCCTCGGCCGGACATTGAACTAAGCTTAAATAACGAACTTCCACTTTGGTCGCTCCATTTCCTCCGATCGCCAGTAATTATTTCGGAAAACCGATCACGAAGTTAATCAGAGCGTATCTTTGGAGTAGATGAGCTCTAATCGGTGATAGATGTATATTCGTATAAATTGTAGCATAAACGAGAGCGTTTTTCAAACAGTAATAATTATTAAGTATTTAAGTTGAAACTCAGAGATTCATAAGCTCATAAACTATTAATTGAGATGCTAAAGCCTTTAATAAATCCTTAAACTATAGCTTGTTTAATTTAGTTATCTTTAATATTCTATTACATTTTATTTATATTTTCTTTAAGAATTAAATGTTTATTACTATATTAAATTTAACATAGTACTGACATTGACTTTATTTCTAATATGTAATTTCTTTATTTAACTTGCATTTAAGTATGAATTTTGCCATTTGCACCGCGATAAAGTATGTAATATGCGATACTGTGTGCCAGAAATTCTCAAAATAGACATTGGCATATCTTAACATTTTGTCAGATGGACAAGTCGATAAGTTCTGATATCAATGTTAAATAATAGATATCATCGATGTTAAATAATAGAATAGAAAGAAGCTGTGTGGGATAGGTCAACGGATAATTAAAATCGGCTTAGCATCTATCGGGTGTCGTCAAATTTAAAAATGATTTAATTTTCAATGAAACAATTCCGTTTATATTTGATACTTAATGTTGAAAATTAGATATGCAACGAAATAAAGTATAAACAAATGACGAAATTTTCACGTCGATTTTATTTCAAGCGCGTAATATCACTGCAACAAAAGTTTGATGATAAAAATCAAGAAATTATGACAAATAATGAAATTTTTAACATAAAATTTGCACACGTAAATAATAGATATCGTTAAAATTCTATTACATACTAAAAGAACACCTTATACATAGCAGTTATCGACGTATTCACGAAGACTTCGTTCATGTGCTCTGTGATGTTATATCGCTCACAAATATGGATATCATGTATTAAAGGTGAGCGGAGAGAATCGTTTCGTTAACACAATTTTCTGTTCTTTCCATAATGCATAATGTACATAACACTATGACTTTTTTCTCGAGAAAAATACTACAAATAGGGATTATACACAAATGTGAAACCAAGATCAAGATATTTTTATCTTTGACTTTTGTCATTACGTAAAAGAATGATTTATGCGAACTCATTTACTTAACTGCATTAAAAGTTTTTATAGGTTACAAATGTTAAGCTTCATCGTTACAGAGCAGTAAAATCATATTATACTCTTATACCGCGGAAAATGTCATTTTTATTATTTATACGCAAGATTTTTTTATACGACTGCATATATTAAGTCAGTGTAGCAAGCAATTTAAAAAAAGATGAATCGCGGGATATTTTTGTATATAACCGGATAGAATATTTTTGTACAGTGAGCAAATTTCACATTGCGGATCGATTCTACTCAACCTCGAAAGCTGTCGGAGTCCTCTTATGTAGCGTCGCTTACATGTGAAAGAAAAGTCTGAAATAGGAGCTTGTGCGGCGTGAAAGAGGACGAGCGTCTTAACGATCGTGTCGTCAGGAATCCGTCCCCGGCCAAGAATACCGTAAACGGTTCAAACAACCGGCGCCGTTATATTCACACGTGACCAACACCGTTGCACTGTCGCGATTACTCGCTTAATCCTGTCGCACGGAAATTTGCGACTTATACAAGAGCGTATAAGTGCAGTACATAAATATCTTGACCAATAAAACGTCTAACTAAACTGTCGACAATAAAAGCTGTAATGTTTTCTAGCATTTATCTCGAAAGTTTTATTATTCCAAGTGCTCGCATGCCACGCTTATACTTTTACTACGTATTTGCGCGCGACAGGATTAACCTACGAATGATTGTGTCGCGAAAAAACAATGGTGTTGTACGCGTGTAAGCTACCGCGGAGTTACAGCGTACTCAGTTTCTAGCGCAGAGATGATACCGGAAGTTGCGAAAATGACATTTTATGTGAGCGTCACGTGCTTACGCGACTCCTGGATTAAAAGCGGGGAAAAACCGACGGCACGGCCGACAAGGGGAATGGCTTTTCCACTGAAAAGCTCGACCTTTGACCGCCGTCACCGGGCTAGCTCTTTCGACCAACCGCCGCCATCCTCCACCAACCCCTATTCTTCCTTGGCTCGCTCTTTCTCTCCCTCCTCCTCCCTCTTGCTGTCCTTGGTTTGAAGTAATTAAGCTTGCCCGTAGGAGAGACGTGCCGAAAGTTCGGTCCGCTTCACTATAGCGCTGTCCTCTCGCCGACGCGGTTACTTTCCTCCGCGCGGACGCCCTCGTCGCCGCGACGCCGCCACCCTTTGCGAAATCGGGTGACGCTCGTGCCCCGGCGGAGACGCCCATGCCGCGAGGGGGGTAGGGGCGGTGGATAAGGGCGGCGGCCAGGAAGGATCGAAGGGATAATGGATTCTGAAACTAAATGAAACGCGAGCTCCCGACGCCGCGCCACGCCGCGTCGCGCCGGGTCCGCGGCTAATCTCGAAACTTCGTTAAATGTCCGTAATTGCATCCCGCTACGACCCACCACGCTCCCAGGCATCCGCGTCGCGCTTCGCGGTACTCTTACATCCGGAAAACCCGGGCCCACGACGGCGACGAAAACGCATCCATTTCTCCACGACGCTTTCCCCATCGCGAACTTCGATACAATTTCACGCAAGTTCGATTGGCGAATCCCCTTAAAATTCGAGCAACAACATGTAAAGCTTCTCTTCCCCCGCTCTCAATCTCTGCGGTTCTTTGTTTGAGAAATTTTGGTGACATGACAAACGCGAGGGTAAAGTCAAATTGTTTCGTCTCTGGAGGGAATGTTCCTACGGGGGTCCTGTGGTTGATTGACATTCAACACGCAATCTCTAACAATTCTTTTATGAAATTTAAGAAATTGTTTATTTTAAATTAAATCGATTTAAAATTACGTTAAAAAACTTTGAAATTATACTCTGTAATTACGTTTCTGTTTATATATAAAATAACATTCCGATGGATAATTAGCTTCTGCCTTAAATCCTAAATTGAAATTAAAAATGATATTAATGTTTTATATCCATATAAATTGATAACAAAAAAATTATATGCAAAGTATCTTTATGTTGAATTGCTTCTAAACATGTTTGTGTTGTCAACCGTTGACTTCCATAAGTAAATAAGCTTGTATCATGGTAATCAATCGGAAACACATTAATGATGAGCTTAATAATGCACAAATCTTTCGGCTAAAATCCACTGTATACATAATTAAACATACAGCCGTGCATAAAATTGCTACTTCCATCGTCCTCGCACATATTATATCGCCTGCAGTTTATATTACGTTTCCTAAAACATGTTTATTTATCTCGTCGGATTTCAATTAAATGAGAAATCGACTTTAAAACGAAATACAGACGCGATAACGATGTCGCAAGTGGCAGATAACGAACCAATATCAGCTGGTTTTTACCAGAGAACGGCAATGTCATTCGCGTGCTACATTGAGGAAAGTTGCTGGCAGTATAGTTTACTATCCGGCTGCGTCCCACGCTCGACGTAGGAAAACTTTGTAAAATTTCTTTTTTTTTTCTTGCCAGAGAACTTTGCAACCCGATTTTGTCCTCGATTTTGCTCTGGTATCCAATTTTACGAGAGAAGATAGTCCCTTCTTGTTCCCGCTATATTGGTCCTTTCTCTCTCTCTCTCTCTCTCTCTCTCTCTCTCTCTTTCTCTTTCGCTTCATTCTCCATTTCTGTCGCCGACACTTGCGTCGCTATTTTTGCTCTATGCCCACCTTCTTGTTGGTGCGCTTTACACGGGGGCAAACCGTACGTTGGAAAACCGTGAGGATAATTTTACATAAGCCGCACATATGATACAGCACGAAAAAAACTCAGGGCGGAATAATTTACGGAATATCTCAAAAACGTCCCCGACGAGATATCTCATTCCTGACTTGAAGTATGTTGTAATATTCGAGATTGAAAAGTAAAAGAGACGAAAGAGTAGAATAGAGAAAATAGCAGTAATTTATTTTATATCAGAGTGCGAAAGTTCTTTCGAAATAATTTAACGAATAAGTAAAGAGAAAGAATGAATAATAAATGGCAGGAATAATATATATCAAAACAAAATTAAACGGCGCGCACAATGCATTATTAGAAATAAATAAATATTTCTAACACATTAAAGTCAAAAATAAGTACTCTCCTATATTGTATAAATATTTTTAAAAATAAAAATAAAGGAAAACTCTTTCCTTCGCATATGTTTTTTTAGTATAAAATATACCATGAGCCGGAAAGAGATTTGAGCCACTTTTTTACAGCAAACTAGAGCAAACTAAATTATTGAGTGAGAGAGAAAGAGAAAGAGAGAGTAGAGGGGAGGAGGAAGGAAATGCTATACGAAACAGGAAAAAGAGCAATGAGAAGCTCTCCTCTCCTCGCAGCGTCGCATCGGTGCTATTACTATTTGGGAATAGCTCGGCCTTGACTCGCAATTAACCGAGGATACGCGACAAAGTGAGGGGTCCACTTGAAAGCGTACGATTCGGCGGAGCGTAGATGACGATTCTTGTAGAGCCCGGCCCGGGGTAATTCGATTAGCTTTACGACGTACTTGTTCTGCCATCGGGCAGCAGCGTGTCGAGGGCATTGAGAGGGTACGCCGAACAGGTGATATTACTGTAACGCCAGAACTCCCGCGCGGACAGCTCCAGCATCTCACGAAAGACCTCGGCACGCCCCAGCTGGCAGGCGAGTGTCAGCGGGGTCAGACCCGCGGCATTTACGATTCCGTTGCGAGCGGGAAGCTTCGGATGTCGTAGAGCATAGCCGAACATGTCCTACGTCAAACAACAGATCTCTATGCGAATTATTCGGCGAACTATGTCGACAAAAATATCAGTTTCCGTATTCGGGACGAATTAAATAGAATCAGAAAATTCAAACCTTGCATTTTACAACAACAAAAAATTGCAAAAAGAGATATATTAAAAATATTTGCAATGCTCAAAAATACAATTTTTATAGTAAAAATTTATTTATTTGGGAAAAATGATAAAAAGCTTTTCCAGCGCGAAATATCCGAAAAATAATTATCGACTGATATACCCAAGTTTTCAATTACGGCAATATACGCACCAATTTATCGCCGACTACGACCATGTGCAAAATCATATTTCCGAAAGAATCCTGCTCGTCGGGATCCGCGCCGGAGTCAAGCAGCAAGTTGTAGACGCTCTCGTTGGCGCAGCAGGCGGCCCACGCGAGCGGGTACTCCCCAAGATACGCGAGTCCTTCGTAATCGGTATTTCTAGCGGGGTTCATCCCCTGCTGGTCACGCGGCAGGAAGAAGCTACCGATTGCCCGCTGCGAGATAATTGCGCCCGCTTCAACCAGGTCCTGCACGAGCTCGTTGTTGTTGTAGGCGATCGCGAGATGAAGAGCGCTCGCGCCGAGATACTCCTCGCCCTCGACGACGTCGATGGCCAGCCGCGGGAAGCACTTGAGCAATATACGCGCTATTCTAGTATGCGTGCGCGTGTCGCATATGATAAGAACGTGCAGCAGGGCCTCGCCCAACGAGCCCCTGTACTGCATCTGCCAACAGGCCTCGTGATCGTTCCACTGCGCCAGCGGATCGAAGCGCGACAGCGAGGCTTCGATCGGCAGCACGACCTGCTCGATATCGCGGAACTTCCAGCGCAGATATTCGGCGCGATTGATCACCTGGCCTTTACCGTCCGCGTACAACAAAATGCCGAACTGTTCGCGTACGAGCTTCTCCACCTCCGGCTGGCCGCCCTGATTGTACGCCTCGATCAACTCGCCGCCCTTCTTGTAGTTGGCTAGCCGATACAACAAACATTGGTCCTCGTCGCTCGCTTGGCTGATCACGCGGTCGAGGATCGAGCCGGCGTTCGGCTGGCTGCCGCGACCAACGCGGCACGAGCAAACACCACCCATTCATATCACGTATCCCTTCCGCCTGTCGGTCCGGGCGAAAGCGCCGAAAGCTCTCGCACCAACGTTCTGTGATCACCCTCGCTCGCCCAGTGTCGCGTCGGGCTCTTATCAGCTAACGTCGCCCGAACGGAATCCCTTTTGGATATCTTCAGATGTTCTCAAGGTCGAGCAGCGAGTCATTTCCGCCGCGATAAAGCGAAAAGCCACTTCGCCGTATGGCTACTCGCGATGGACTCCATTGATGTAACACTCGAGATTCTCTTACCCCCGACGAGAGGTGGCATGGCAGGTGGAGAGAGTGTGCGGATATTCGCGCTATAGCAACCGACCGATCCATAAGCGGTACCTGGTGCAGACGAGCACGACAGGGTCACCACCCCCACCACGCAGTCGTGAAATCGGGAACGTTTTTACGGAAATGAATTTATCCAAGGCGCCGTTGAAAGATAATTACGTGGAATATTGATAATTTAGAGCGAATATGACGTAATTTTAAAGCGTAAAAACCGATCTGGTTCTCTCTCACTCGCGCAATTCGACAGGATGATGGAGACCGTGACTTACTCTTAGCCCGCATGTCGATCGTTCGACCTTAACACACTTTCCAGACGCTGGATGTATGCGCGATTACTTCTTGAAATCGGTCGCAAGGACGAATGCACCGCTGCGTGAAAATAAAGTTATAAAGAGAAGTAACGAAAATAAAATGCGCTCGAAAAACAGAATTATAATTGCCTGCTACTGACAAAAAGATTAACTCAGTGAAATTATATATAGCTGGATAAATGGGTGATATTAGCCACTGCAGTTATTCTGTTTTTATTAATTTAATCGAGGTAAAAATATTAATTGCATTTTTCTGTTACTTCGTATGCAGCCGTTCGCGCCCAGACCTGGTTTCGCGCTTCATTACATCCATATTTACGACAGGAATGTTGAAATCAATTTCCCATCCCCCAAGTCCGAATAAAACAGTTACGCGCGACGTGCATCCGTGTTTAAAGTGCATTTGTATTTAACCGAAACGCAGCGAACATTCCATTCTCATCGAATTGGAGCACTGCAATAATACGTATATTGTTGTATTGCTGGCATCTGGAATCAGTATCATGTCGATGTTACTCAAAATACTAAGTTATCGAGAGACTACAGTAGCTCAAGCTTAAACGATACACGCGTTTCTATATCAGTTCTAGCGAAAGGGATGGTTTGTCGGTTAGGGAAAAAAATTCCCTTTTATTCACTCGCGAAAAATTGAAATCGATTCCGTGCATCGAAACGCAACTTCCCACGCGGCGCGTATTTCATCGCGACAGACAAATCATCGTTGTCCTCGTTCGACGAATGGTATATAGTCCATGTATTATACGCTACGATCACGCCATTGTAAATTGATGCCTCGTCATTCCCCGAATGACTGCGAAAAAAAAAAACAATTTCCAATTCGACGTTCCACCAACAAGCACCGCCGGATGGGTCGAGCAGACGTGTGGTGCAACAGCGGATGCAGAATTGCAGGTGGCATGTATTATAATTTGTCATACGGACATTTGAGTCGTACGTGAGGAATAAGTGCTTAAGTGGACATTTTGCAAGCACTGACATTTAACTTTCGCAATTGGAGAATCTGGTCAAGTACCCGAAGGCGATACGCCATGTTCTTGCGAAAGTTCGCTTAATCTCAAAGAACAGTCATTATATTTTGTTACGCATGTACCTCCTTAATTTATTTCTGACGTACAATCTTCAATCGAGGCAGAGTACAAATTAAAATTTGAAAACAAAAACGCTGAAACAATTTTTGCCGAGTGCAAACATTTAACATTGAAACAGTAACGATATTTTGTAAAACGCTTTAAATGCTGTTTTCTGATGGTATTTTGGGTGCTTTCATTATTGTTTTATCTTTATAAACTCGTTTTTATTCTTATAAATGTTTGTTAGCCCAAAAAGGATTTTTTTCTATCATACCGAATGAAATTCGCGTAACCGTTCTCGGATTAAATATTTCCCAAAATATTGTTAAACCATGCGCTTTCATTCGCCGGCCCTTTCAATTAATACATTGTTTATGCAATTCGATATGCAAACTCATTTTTTTTTCCGTTCGTTGCGAAGCGACCGCAACAATACGGTGAGTTTGCCCAACGTGATAAACTTCCAAATTTACACAGGCGCGCGGTGGAATCTAGGGAAAGAGATAACGTTTGTTGGTATCTGGCGCCGTAATATATACAATAAAATGTATTTCCGCAAACTGTCACGCGTTTGACAAACGCGAAGGCTTTCATAATATATTCAATATCTATATATACACATGTGAACGAGAGGATATGTTATTCGTGAAACGTCGATTTGAATTGACGTGAAGTTACGATCGCGTAATTGTGTGCGCATGCACACGCGATATTCAACACTGTCTTATCGCGGATAAAATGAGTTTCTTCGGTGTCAAGAGTGTCGTATATAAATTGTCAACGTAATTTGATAACAAAATCAAGCCGTCCGGTTTAAAAGAAGAAACGATAGATCATTGTCAGCGGAAACTAGAATCTTCACGATGCGTCATAAGCATTATCTATATCGCGCGTAAGGAAAGAAAATGCATAATGTACACATATGTATATGTATATGTGGCGGCAATTACGATATTTCTAGCGCGGATGAGTCATGTCGATTTTGCCGGTACCAGTCTCGACAGGAGACTTGTTTATCTGATTCATACCGATATAATCCTCGTCTACGTGCGCGAAAAGCTAATAATGACTTTAAGAGGACAAATCTGACAAGAGATAGCATTAACATCGTTTAAATATGGCTTGAATTGCTCCGAACAAGCGTGTTTTTCACTCAAATTTAATATATCTAAAAATATAATTGCACTTTAATATAAGTAATTTTCTAAATTTTATGACATGTGTATGACATATAGAAACTTTTTAAACTTTCTATTTCGAAATATATCTTTCGCAACCTTATACTTCGTAATGATGATTTATTCTCGTTTATATATGACGCTGATCTATTTACTCTTAATCGAGCCAGTTACAGGTTTTTTAAAGGTAAATTACAAAGTCTAGTCGCAAACTGTTTACGGTTAATGAGTTAATGCATTTGTCATATCGCGGACACGTATCAAGATCTAAGCGTGAAATTTACATTCTTACTTTTTTGCAGTCGTCATTGGAATCGTTATCATGTCGTAAAAATATGCTGGTGACAGAATTTATACTTACATAGCTTTCTTTAGCTGCACGAGTGTTTTAAATTGCAAAGTAGGATATCGGTATATTTTACAATATATTGAGAATGATATGAATGATTGTGTTTGCCTTATTTACGCTGCAAATTGTAATTCCTATGAATACAATATCTACAAGTAGTCTTATTTTTTAACGTTAAGATATCACTGCACAAGATTACATAATTATAAACTCTAAATTATGTGTCGCGATTTATTAGAACTTCGCACGATGAAGCACGCGAGGTTCCAGCTGCTTCTATGATAATAAAATTTACATTATGTAAACGCGATGAAAACAAAAGTCGACGGCGCAATAAGACTAGTCACTAGTGCACTCATCTGCATTTCATAATCAAGATGCAGTCACAAAGCAAAATGTTGCGTCGATATCTAGCGGCACGATCAAGATTTCCGTATGTTATACCGTGAATATAAATATCTTTTTGTAATTGCCTCCGGCAATTCTCATCGCGTTTGTATAAAGGTGATTAAATCTACTGAAATATGTACAGTTAATAAAGTGCAAATGTGTACAGTTAAGACTGCTAAGAGAAAAGTTTTTTTCAAAAAATCTAAATTGATTAAAAAGAAGCAATTACTTTCAATTACACTTTATCTCAACGTTTAGCACAAAAAAATATATGGCTCAGATCTGAAAAAATAAGACAAGCATATATAAAATTTTTATTACATTACAGAGCTGTAATGTATCTTATCTATTCCGTGAAAATCGCCGTCAGTCAAATTTTAACGAGTAGTAAATATTCTTTGCTGCATTAGCAATACTTGTCAATATACATAGAAAAATGTACACTAATTATAACAGCACAATGACGTAATCTATTGTTATACATTTCGGAAAACTTATTATCCCATCGAGCTTATTATTCCGCGAAATGTCTTTTTCATAATTCAGACAAATTCCATTAACAATATGGCATTCCTACGAAGTTCGATACTCCTGAATACGCTCGAAATAGGAAACTGAATGTGGAATTTAAATTATGCACGCTGCACCTTCCGACGCGCCGTTAAATACATTTAACCGATTGCTGCTTTACAGTGGCAAGAATTCACGACGACGAAAGCAGTCGCCTTCGGCTGCTCGTGGCCATTATACCGGCTCTTCCGCATCATAAATTATAGCGACTGGTACGCTCGGGCCGGAAGGATCGCAGGAAGCGGGCATGAAGCCGAAAACAACAGCGTGATCCACATTGCAATCGACCCGTGAAATGCATTTTCGCGAAATTACCAACGGCCTGTGAATGAGCACGATGCGATGCGGCGCGCGACGCGACCGATTCGAAAATTCGTCCAAAATCCCGACTACATCGGACATACGCAATTACTTTTAATCAAACTGTCTGTTGTTTGCAGGCCGCCGTGTGTCGGTGCGGTCACTGAACGCACGACTTAACGGCATTCGACCTGGGCCCGGATTCTCGCTCTCTCTCCACTCATTATTAACCTATCGTATATTCGCACACTTGTGACTAATCGCATCGACGAACAATAGCTGACGCAATTATTCCGCGAGCGAGTACACTCATTATATTTCAGTGACGCAATTGCAAAAGGGCTACGATTGAAAATTTTCTTAGCTATACTCACAAATGCATGGAATAAATCTCTAACAAAGTTAAAATTGCCAAGAGAGAAGTTTTCAAGAAATCTAAATCAACGAAAAAACAATTATTTTAAATTACACACCTGACAAAAAAACTATCGACATTTGACACATTTTGAGAGTTATAATTTTTTTTTTAATTTAATTACTCGAATGTTTTTTTTTTTCTAAAAACCATTGAAATTGTTTGACAATTTACGGCGAAGAGATTTTTCAAGGTCTGAACTAAAGTTTTTCAGATAATACTGAATTGTGTGTCGCTTGAAAGCATTGCTTTCAAGAAATCCATTCGGTATGTTTGCTGGAACATCTGTTGCTAATTCAATCAGCACTAAATGACAGCGCATAGGTAGGCGTAGGTAGGTTGTTGTAGAGTGATAATAGATGCAAGGATAAATTCATACGCGGTAGATGACAAAACGGACGTCGCGTAATAACACATTTATCTATTACAATGAATCGGTTGCATTCATAAGTAGTTGCTACGATTTTGCGCAGAACTTGTATAAATCGCGTGCATGGAAAATCCGTGGAAGTAACGAAGCGAGAAGCGCACGTTATATTTTACCTTTCCGCATGTTTATCTTATACCGTGCTCGAGACGTTGGGAAAAATATGCGAATTACATGATTCCAACTATTGAATATTCTTAGAAAATGACATGGTTACATAAATTTGCAGCGCCGACATAACCGATTACAAAGTGATCGCAGATAATAAGAGGGTACTTTACTATATAACTACCACCTTGATCAACTTTTATGTAGTAGCGAAAATTATAGGCAACACTTGTAACTATATATTAAAATACCGCATCGCGAAGATACATGTAATTTAAAAGCTAAATGTGTCTTTGCTACTTAATTTTAACACACAGATCTTTGCGGATATCTTTCTAACACGCGTATTCGCAAAACCTTTATAATTTTCAATGTTTTTTTAATTTTAAAACGACTTAAAATTGCAGAAGATAGCTTCCGGAAGAGCGTTCGTTTAATTGCTGTAAGTACACGAAAGTAATTATTCGGAATAATCTGTTACATCCACGCCGTTGTAAAAGTAGTGTTCGTGCCTCGGAGTTAAGCATCTCGTCAGGCGAGTCCCGTCTGTTTCCGAAGTTTCTCGACGGTTCATGTAGCGGACTTCTTATGCGAAAGCATAAGCAGCAAGCAAATAGCGGTACACCAATGCGTGCGTAAAATGGCCCGCGTGTGCACACCAGCATACTATGAGACGCACGATAATTATCGTGTTCCGCTGCGCTAGTTCGCCCGCCATCGGCGAGGTTTCCATAATAATAATAATAATAATAATAATACCTCCTCGCATACAAATAAAAGGACGCATACATACATATACGCGTATCACCCCAGCTTACGCCACGTGCGTATGATAAAGATTTTCTGTGCGACCTTACCCTTCTCCTCTTTCTCTGACCTGTTTTTTTTTTCTCCAAGATAATAAAATATTTCAAAAACTCGCGACCCATTGAAAATGTTGCTCGTTATCTCTTCTTGCGTTTTTTTTTTCCCGGAAAGTCTCGTGAATAATGCTAGTCGGCAGGCGTGATAATGTTTGAAACGTTCACTCAGAACAACGTATTATTCACGGTTGTTATGCACCCTGCTTAGTATTCACGTAATAATGAATGTATAGCGGAAGATGCGCGAGACGATGTCTCGCGTAATGACTGGTGTGCCGCTAACGCGATTAATGACGAGGAAGCGGTGTAATTGTTTGCGGAATTCTGCAAAAATCATAGACGTGGTGTCATTAATGTGCATTACACGATATACTTAACCCGGTGGCAGGGCGAAATTACAAAGGCGTCTGATACTGAGAAAAGCCGCAATGTGACTCAAACGCCTCGCGCCGCTCCACGCCGCGTTCGCGATCACGTGGTCTGCGTCACGTGACCTCGTTTCTCGTTTCGACGCAGTCACTAGCTTGGGGGATCGCATATAGCCGCGGCGCGGACGAAAGTTGCGGGGCAAAGCGTCGGTGTTTATCGCGGGCCGGTCCAGCGAGTAACCTTGATCCTTTCGCGAGTCGTCGTACGTGACAGCCGTCGTTCGCCGAGTCCGAGATCCGAGACCGGTTAGTGTCGATCGGTGCATCGTCGAGGCAACAGGCGAATCTGCAAACAGTTTTCCTTGAGCTGTCGAAGTTCTTTTACGACAGAATGAAGGTCTTCGTTCACGTTTCTCTCATTGCTGCGTGCCTAATCGCGTGTGCGCACGGTCTTCCGGGTGAGTGACATTTTTTTTTATAGTAATAAATTAATTTTTTTTTCTGTTGCGATATCGTATGTTCTAAATACGGGAAGTTCCGTGGTGCGAAACAGAAAAGAGTAACAATATTCACGGCGAATGTTGTATTAAAGTTTATTATACTCGAAACACATTATTGACATTTATTTTAAGTTTTTCTGTAATTTAATTCAATTTTTTACTTAGTGTAAATTACACTGATTATATTTTTTCATTAAGTTGTGGCTTTAATGCTTCTCAAATAAAATTTTTTTTTTTTTCCAGCAATTATTGCTTCAATAATCTCATCTAATAATCATTTATCAAAAGATGTACGTTTTTGATTGACTGATTTCAATTATTAAGCAACTTTTCATAATTAACTTTTGAATTGAATGAAGTTTAATATGATTATTCGCCAATTTCATAACTTTCACGTTCTAAAAATAACATAATCACGATTGTTCCAACTTCTCTTTAAATTATTTACCGTTTAATTATTGTTAGAACTAATTGTAAGTGCAACTCGCAATCCTCAAAGTAGAGTCCATCTACTTAAAATCACATTATCAAAGTCAGATATTTCATTATGCCATAATCAACTCTTTCAATTCTAAAGATGGAATGCGTTCCGAATGTTAAATCAATAAGAGCCAGTTTCAATGTTGAAATAAACTCATAACGATTATTTTCAACCGCGAAGTATATTTTGTTAATACCCTGAGTTAGCAAATTTTATTTTACTTCCGAATTCAGGTCGCACAAATACATTTATTACTTGTCTGCGGATCGCTTTTCAATAAACGACTAAAGCGAATGGACATAGATATTTTATGTACTAACTAGATCGGAATTAAAAATTTGAAATTAGCTTTATATTTGCAATTTAACTATTTTTATGAGCTAATAAATTATTAAACTTTTGGAGTTTGGATCATTGCGCATTTTGGGCTACGCACACCGTAATAAAACGTAATCTACACTAGGAAAAATATTTAGTTAAAATATTTTTGTCATCTTAACTAAATCTAATTATCCTAAACTAAATTTTTTATTAGCAACATTTTTTTCCTGCAATTTCTTTCCTTCATATAATAATTAAAAATATTAACAAAACAAGTTTTATTAATTTAAACAAAAATGTTTTGTTATTAATTTCGCTTTATTACCTAATTTGTTATAATTGTAATATTAATTCTAATCCAGTGAGAAATGACAGGTCGAAAAGACGTTTTAGACTAGACATCTAATAGACGTTTTTCGACCTGGGAACTTAATTTTGCTTTATTAAACTAACTTTATTAACTTGGTTATTTAAACTAAAAATAAAATCTTTATTTTATTGAAAATTTTCCAGCAACTAAATTATATAGTCAAAATGTAAAAATCATTTTCGTAAAAATAATAAAACCTTTTATAAATGAAACAAAATATTTGGTTGCTATAAACAAAAGCCTCAACTATAAAATTTTGTTAAAAACATTAAATTTTTTTCCTAGTATACGTTTTTATTCTTATTTTCTATACATCCTCAAAACTCTGACATTTATCGCGGCTCTATTCGACCCGTTGAACGATTCTTCAGGATTATTTGCATTCAATTCACGACATTTATGCGTCGTTATAAGACGAAGCGGGCGTCCCGACGGGCGAATATCTCGATTGAATGTCAGGTCACGAAGAAATCGTGGAAGCAGATAGTACGCTCGAACTACTTAAGACCGTTGTTTACTCGATTACAACTCGATATGAAATTCACTTCCAGCGTAGACTTTGCTAATTAGCATCGGCCCCGTTTTTGCGAGACGGGAACGGCAGGAAGCTCGTTTAATTGGAGCTGCTTCGTCCCCAAGATAATTGTCCAAGCGAATTCCCGTCGAACTCCAATTTATTCCTCTTGATTTTAATGTAACTTTATCTCTCGGGCCGACGTTTGTGTATTTCAACGGTTTTCAACCGTGCAGAAATCCTTACAGAAATACATTACAGAAATAATACGACCTGACTTTTCCGGGAAATTGCAAATTACGATTTCATCGCTAATTTATCGAGTTTTCCTCTGTTGGAATTAAGAGTTCAATCACACTTTGTGTTATATTCGTGAAACAATTTGACATCTTGATGTGTCAAATATAATAAATTTTTAAATAACAGAATGAGATTTTTATTTATAACTTTTTCAATAAATCAATTTCGTTCATTAATTAAAAAATTATTATATTACATGTTAATAAATTTTTATCACGATTTTTGGAACTTTTCTCCATTGTATTTAAAAATATAAATGTGTTCCTTTCCGCTTGTTTAAAAATGTCATTTGTAATTTTTTTTTTATGGCGCAAGCAACTTTACCTACGTCCTAAAGGAGATTAACGAGTTTGCATTCAAATAATTGTACATGCATAAATGCATACCGTGTTATTACAGCCACCAACATTTGTAAAACAGACTCGGAACTTTACGCATATTCGCTGAAGCACCAAATGATACGAATATTTTAACCAGTAGCGTCGTGACGCGTAACGTATTACAGTGTATAAATAACTTCGAGAGAGAGAAAGAGAGAGAGAAAGAGCGACGAAACCAAAACTAAAGCCATCGCATTGTTAAGTATAAAAAAAATACGCCGCGAATGAAAGTTCGGCAAAAGAGAACGTTCGCAATTGCCGAACCATTAATGATCCGTGTAGCCGTGACAGGCGTGCAGTGCACAATCGTACAATTATTTCTTTCGCCATCGGGGCGTACGTAACACGTCCATTATTACTTCGGTGAGAAATATGACGCCTTCGGGCGAAGTGTTTCTCTTAACATGATGCACCTGCCAGTTTTCATGCCGCGAAATTTCGCCGTAGACCGCGCGGTCTCCGTAGGAGAGAACCGTCTGCTCTCATTACGCCCGCTGACAGCCGGGTGACAGCCGGATAATAATGTAATTTTTGAGACTCGCCGGGACCGGCGGCAGGGCGGCCAACAAGCCGCGAAAATCGAGTTTCCGTGAGTTTCGATCGACGGGGAAGTCGCGGCTGTTCGGTCTCCCCGCGCCGAGTGAGTAGACGCGCGTAGTAGCAGTTTGTCAGCGTCAAACAGCACGAACTGCGTCACGATGGTGTATAAGCAGATTGCGCTTAATCCTATTAAGAATACGTAATCGTCGTGCTTACTGCTGGGTAATCGCGCGTCGTCTCTGAGGTAAGCTTGCGTAATCATCTGCAATCGTAAATCTCTTTCGTGCAACAAACATGACGTTTAGCACCGTCGCGAACGTAGTGCGCTCTCCCGCGTTCGTCGCTGCGGTCCGCTCTCCCGACTAATTGTACTTTATACAAAAATCGATACGGTAATAGTAATGCAAATTTCCGAGAGATGCGTTTCGCACCGAAAACACGCGGTGCGTCTATGTATGCGCTAATAAAGGGGAATATTACATTGCTCGTTAAGAATCAATTATATTAATTACGCGAAATTATACATTAAAGAATAATTATCTCACCTAAATGAGATTTGCAAGTGCCACGTGCAATTCCGCAAAATATGAAACGTAGACTTACGTTCACTGGTATCAGAGATAACGCTCCAGTTTACTTAAAGTTATATTATTAAAAGCGTTCCTCGTTAAAATAGCTTTCATAACGCTGGTACACCGGTATGTATTATGCGCGTAATTTATCGCTTCTACCAATCTCGATTATATTAATTGATTTCTTTTTTTTTTTTGTTAGCGCCAGTATCAGGTTTATCATACATCATATACGAGTGCGTTCGCATAAAAATATGTCGTGTAAATCATTTGGGCCACTCGGCGCCAATTATAGCGGGAAAGAAGTCGTGACTAATTACTTCCGATATATCTCGTTCGGTCACTGATTAGTTGATTCACACAGCGTCGCACGGTTGTTGCACAATCCGGTAATGTCATTCCTTCTTCCTATGTTCCGCATCGCGGGCGACGAGCCTCCTGTCGTCAGCTTCCCTTTCACATGCCCCCTTCACACGTGCAATCGCACTGGTCTCGTGTATATGTCATACCATTCGCGCGCGAGTAATGCGGATGTATGACGATACATAGTGCAGCGCAATTGTGCAGCCAAGAGCAACAATGGGGATCTAGCGGGATCTATTTTTTTGTCTTCCAATCATTATTCTAAAATAATTTTCTTTTGTTTAACTTCTGTGATTTCTATGAAACTAAATAACAATGTTGAAACTTTATGATTGCAATAAACTAATTGGATAACATAAGGGAGTTAGTATAATCAAAGAAGCGTAAAAAGATAAAAGAAATATTTTAACGTAATATATTTTCTTTTTATCTTTGTTAGTTTTTCTCAAATAAATATTTTTTAATAACTCATTAATTTTTTTACGGTTGCTCGAAAAGTTCGAAAGCACGATGAGGAATATTTTTACCGAGTGTTATTATTTTATTTTTTTTTCCTGTTACCTTGCGCGATTCCATATCTGGAGAGTGTCCTTGCGTGTCGACGGCTTAGTTTGTTGTGCACCTCCGTATCTGGAAGCGAAGTGCTGCCGCGGATTATGACCAACTCATATTATTTTCCTGTCGCGAACAGTCCGACCCCCGTTGACGCAGTTGGGCTTGCCTTGAGTGGCAGTAGCACTGCAGAATATACCGCTATTAAGTATGCAGTCCGCGTCCCGCCACCGCCTTGCGGCCATTTAAATAAAAAAAAGGAGGTACGCAAACGTTTTGTCGGCGCATCTTTTTTTTCTTATTTCTCTTGCATAGTCGCGGGGTCAATACCTTGAATCACTCCGCACTGAACTGTACAGAGCGAAAAAATTTATTCAATAAATGTTTTACTTCTGATTTGTCATAAATATAAACGAGTATTTGCAGTTGATTTAGTATAAAATAAAAACTAGTACAATTTAACAATCGATATATAGGTATAAATAGATATAAAGAGTAAGACTTGACTATATATTCTGCACTTTATTCTCGTTTGACATTTGATACTTGATACATGCTTCAGTAT